CATGTGAAATATTAAAATCCAACAACACAATGTCATCATCATCATAAGGTCGTCAGTCCTAAGACTGGTTGGACACGCACCTCCACTCTGAATCTGAAAAACGTAATTGTCAAGTATAGACCTTTGGTAAAGACAGTTAATAAAAAAATTAAAGATAACTCCTTTCTTTGTATGATTATAGCTTTGCCTTTTTTAAGCTTGTAGATAGTTTTTTACAACTTTCTTTAATCAAAACTACCTATTGTATTTATAAATATTAGGTACCTGTAATATATATGTAATTAGGAATGTCTCATTGGTGAAAGTTGCCCGGTACGGTTTATCCAGCTTTTAAAACATATATCTTTATCTTATTAAATGTATCTTATACTTATACCATACGCATTTGTGTACATGCATACATATACACATTTCATTTACTTTTTTAAGGTAACAATAAGTGTGTACTTATTACGTAATGGATATTTAAAAACTGGGTGCTTACTGTAAAATTATATTGTTTTTCGTAAAAAACTTTTAAGGTTTGGACATTTGGACAAAAAATGAGACCTTATTGTCTCATTCCCTTTTTTCGTTCATTAAACTTGACTTTTACCTTCAAACCGATAACGTTTCGATTACAGGGTAAAAAAAAATAATAACCTCCCTCCATAGTACTAGCTAAAGAGCATTCTAATGTAATTCAGGGTGTCAGTGTGTCATCGTCGTGAAACTGGTTGCCTAGTAACGGGTGTGCTTGGCCCGGCCTATTTTCCTGCTGTATCGATCTAGGCACCTCGACTTCGTTTTTCATTGTCGACAATATATTCGTATTATGTATCTCTTTATGTACATAACTACCCATATAATGTGTATATAGAAAAATTTGGTATATATTTCAGTCCCACAAGTGGCATTTTGTTCAAATGTCGGATTTTTTAGGTCTTTGTAAAAAAAGAGAAAGAAAAATTATCTTAGTCATCCTATAGGATTTTTGTTTCTTTTTGTCTAATTCATTGTTCATTTATAAAAATCTTAAAGTGTTTTCTGTATAATATTTGAAGAATATTTTTCAAAAAATTAACCGCTTCTAGGTATTTTTTAGAATAAAATATTGTAGGTAATACTAGTGTAAGCAAATAAATTTAAGAAATATTATAAAATCGGAAAAGTATTAGAAGCTGCAGCTAAAAATTTTTTATAAAAGCTTCAATAGCATCAGATTTTCAAGTTTTTCTTAATTTAATATTGCAATGATTATTGTGTACTTCAATGTTTTGATGAGATTTTGTATGGTAATTTAATTAACTGTTGAATATGTGAATTTTTGGTGTTGTGTTATATCAGAAATTGTTTTAAAAGGACGCAGAATAAAATGAGATATAAAATTCGATTTAAATCTAGTTTGAAACTATGCTATAGGGTATTTCAGTTTTATAATTGGTAGATCTTTCGTTGGTAGCAGTTGTTGTCAAATTCGAGTTATCATATGGTTGTCATACAATTATTTCAAATGCAAATCTTTTTTTAATTTTATTGCCTTAATTTCAATTAATGGCAGTGTTAAAAGTTTTGTACGTAGTGTAGGCGATTTGAAACATGATGCCAGAGAAAGAAAATATTCTATCAAAAAGACTGAACAAGGTTTTAGAAACACGTTTTGAAAATGATCAGGTTAGGTTATGTACTACTGAAGAAAATTTTTGATCTTTTTTAATATATCCCATTTTATTATTTGGAATTATACATAAAGGTGAACTTCTTTCTTATTTTACTTTAGGATACATTGGACGCATTAAAAGAACTATCAACATTTTATGGCGAGAACACTATTCAAGCCAGACGAAATCTACGAAGTCAGATTGAAAAAAGAAGTTTGGAAATTAATCAGAATTTTTTAGCATCATTTCGAGAAGTAAAAGATGTTTTTGACAATGTGTATCAAGATGTGGTGGAAATGTCTCAGTCTATCGAAGAAATGACCACAAAATTAAAAAATGCAAAAGCACAAACAAAACAGCTCTTGGAAAGAACTAGACAATTGCAAGAAGAAAGGTATTGTTTAAATGCTTTTATAATTGATGAAAGTTAAAAGTAATCTAAATTTTTTAGTGTTAAAAATGACATGAAACAAACTGTGTCCAAAGCATTTTTAGAAAAATTTCAGTTGACTCCAGAGGAAGTTGTTATACTTCATGGTTCTAAACATAAAAGAGATGTAACAATTTCAGAAGAAATATTTGTAGTGTTAGAGAAGGTACAGAAAATTCATGCAGATTGTAAAATTCTTCTGCAGGCAGAGCATCAGAAACTGGCCTTGGACATAATGGATCAAATGACTTTACATCAGGTACATTTGTAATATTACTACTGTAATCTCAGTATTAATATTATTAATTGTCATATTTCTGCAGGAAGGTGCCCTTGAACGATTATACCGCTGGAGCCAAAATTACTGTCGAAATGTTGATAATCCAGAATTTACTGAATTGGTAACACGTGCAATGGGTTGTTTACAGACAAGACCAGTACTTTTTAAGTAAACTATTTAATACAATTTTATTAAAATATTGTATGTACGAAATTTCTTGATTTATAGAAATGTTTTAAATGAATATTGTTCTTCAAGAAGAGGTGTATTAGCTGGTGAATTTATAGATGCCTTGACTAGAGGTGGGCCTTCAGGTAATCCAGCCCCTATAGAAATGAGGGCTCATGATCCTCAGATTTATATAACAGATATTCTAGTTTGGTTGAATAAAGCTATTCCAATTGAAAAGCGTAATTTGGATCTATTAGTAAAAACATGTAATAAAGAAGGTAACATTTTGATCTTGTTTGAAAAAATTCTTCTTATTAAATTAAAAGTATCATTTCTTTTATAGAATTAAAAGAGATCTTGGATGAAGCATTAGCTAACATTTGTGAAGGGATTTGCCAACCTTTGCAAATAAGGATTGACAAAATACTGAATATTTCTATAGATGCATCAATTCTGTATGCTGTCACTAATTTGATAAGATATTACAAGAAATCAATAGGAAAGGTGATTTTTTTAAGCCAAGACATAATTTTTGTATTTGTTTCAAAATTTCCTCTTTTTGCAGTGTTTTATTTTTCTGTTTTTGTTGTAGATAACGCAAGGAGGTTTATTGAACACAGTATTAGAAGAAATGCAAACCAAGAGTGAGCAAATATTCCTTTTGGCCTTACAAAATCAGGTGAACAATGCTTTGGTTCGCGTAGAGGCTCCTCCCAGGGATTTGTCTCCGACATCTTCAATTCATCATTTAATAAGCCTTTTAAGGGATATGCTTTCCACAGCTAGTATGAGTGAGGGAAGGGAAATTGACATGATAAAGGTAAATAAACAATTATTGCTAAATTTACCGACCTATTATAGTTGTTGCATTGCATAATGTAAGAAAAATTAAACTTGTGAAGTTATTGATTTGATATTTTGTAGTGTGTGGATATTAAAACAAAATAAAGTTGGTTTATTTTTATTCTACTGATAAAATAATACATTTGTGTTAAACATAACACATTTTAATTTAACAATTTTTGTGTGTGAAGTTTTTGTGTACTCACACGTTTTCTCTCAAATTTCTCCTTAAATAAGAGAACAGGTTTATCCTCTTTTACTGAAATATCATTATTTACCTTTTAAAGATGAAAATTACGTATCGTTTATGTTACTTCTTTATATATTTTTTTTTGTTCTAGATTGCTCAGTGTGTTGTTGATCCACTGTTGAGAGCAGTCAATGAGCAGGCATCTAGACTACCACCTACTGACATGGCAGTTTATACTCTTAACTGCATGTATTCCTTATACACCTGCTTATCTCTTTACGAATTTATGGATGAAAAGATTGAAAGGTTACAGGCTCAATCGGATGCTCAAGTAGACACATTGACCTCCGAACAGGCAAGCAATTTGGTTGCGAATATGAACCTAGGGCCCATTTATACTATCTTACAAGACCATTCACATGGACCTCTCTCAAGTATACCTGGAATGGAGCCCAGTAATTTAAGAAACTTTTTGGTAGGTCATCACTATATAGTATAAAACAAAGTCGCTTCCCGCTGTCTGTCCCTATGTATGCTTAGATGTTTAAAACTACGCAACGGATTTTAATGCGGTTTGTTTTAATAGATAGAGTGATTCAAGAGGAAGGTTTGTATGTATAATACATGCATAATATAGTAGAGAAACACTGATAATTTTAGAGGTTTCTAATGTGATGTCGTAAATAAACACATTTTTTGCGCTTACATTGCAAACACTGGCTGAACCCTACGAGATAGATCAAAATAATGTACTGCAATATTGTACATCTTAAAAGGGTCTACAAAAAAGTCCGTGATGGTATATGTCTATCTCTTAGGGATAACCCACAATAACCATTTTTATCCTTTACTTTTTATGAGAAATAATGACTTATTTACGAAGCGATTGTAGGCAATACAGCATTAATTCTTATCCAATTAAGTACCTTAAATACATTGTGCATTTAATATAGATCAATATGGCNCTGGATTCATTTCTGCAACTGTCAATTTATTTCTCCTTCTCTCGGCGATCGTCTCTTCCTTTAAATACTCTTTTGTTTACTTTCTGGAACCTTCTGGAAACATCCGGATAGTTTATTTTTTCTTTGAACTGTTTATCTGCCCCAGTACGCAGGTACGACACACACATTTACAAATACGGCGCACATGAAGAATCGGCGAATCGATAAGCCGTTCACGCACACGTGTGCCCGGCCGCACACAAACGCACTCGTGCTCGCTATAGTACAAATACCTTTAACCATCTTTTCATATAAATAATAAATCTATTAATTGCAATTTACAGCCTTTGAGAGGTGTTAAACTTTGTTTAAAAGATTTTTTCGTCATGTTACCGCGGAACGCTCGTTTTGTGTGCTGTGAAATAGGGAAGATATGGCCTTTTTTCAGCCGTTTTTCAATCGGGAAGCAATGAAATTAGTCTTTTAGCATGAATTATTTCTAATACTAAAAATCATCTCAATTAAATTCCTGAATGTCTAAGGCCCAATACTTACTACAATTTACAATAACATCCTAACTTCTACATAATTTACTCTTATTTCGTCAGTATAGTACCTCTAGAAGAAACGAGCCGAAAGCCTGTTTTTTTCCTCGACATGTAATGTACTATGGAGAGTTCAGTTAGTTTGAAAAAATATATTCCACATTCACGTTCACCAAATTATACATTGCGACATAAAATATAAAAAATGCCGACAAGAAAATGTGTAACTTCTATGTTCGGTGATCTTTTTGCTTTACCTGTATACGCATGTGGTTGTAAAACATACGTGGAATAAAAATATAAATAAATTAAAAATAATAAGTTTTATTTCTCGTTAAAGTTCTTTGAAAAAATACATACGTCAATAGAACTCATTCGCTTTTAGATGCTCAGAGTATTTATTGGGTAACAGGAATTCATATTCTCAAGAAGTGTACTGCATATTGTAATTTATTGGCGAAAGGGGACATGTTTTGGATTTCGACGATAATTTAATACTTAATTGTTGTATTTAAAAGAAAAATAATTCTAGACGATTTTTCAGAAATTTTAAATTTATTTTTTCATGTTTAATAAGTATTTAAAAAACAATTTATTGTTTTGATTTACAATTCTCAGAGGTATTTAAAAAAGAAAAAATTAGCATCATACAGTTATTGTTTTTTTTTCTCAGAAATTATATTAAC